CCAGTGTCAACAAGTTCAATAAAGCTATTTTTAGCATATTGGTCACAGTCAAAGTCACAAGGTCATTGACCTTGGTGCCATTTGAAAGAACTTAAGCATGGAGTAAGCATACCAAATATGGAGTCTCCATCTCTTACGGTTCAAAAGTTATGGTGAAGGTTCAAAAAGGCTATTTTGAGCATATACTGCAAAACTCGTTTAGTACGAACACGGATATTGCAAATTTACGGATATAGCCAAGTCATTTTGGGTCCCCAACTACAATGTATATAAATTTTATGACTTTCTTATACGGTTATAACGAATTATGGGTATAGCAAAGTAATTTCACAGGTCCCAGTGACTTCGTTATAACCGAGTTTTACTGTAGACCTTAGTCAAGGTCACAAAGTCATTGACCTTGGTGCCATTTTAAAGAGCTTAATTAGTGGAGTAAGTAAACCATAAATGAAGTGAAGAGTGGTACATGAGATGAACGAAAAAGTGTATATCTGTTCATTTTAGGGAGAGAATATGTCAACTTTAAATTCAACCCTGGTGAATTGGTGCATGGACAGAGATACGTAATTTGTATCCACACGGTGTATACTGAGATAAAATTTGAGGAATGGACCCAAGTCCTGCCAGAGCTAAACACCTGTAGTGATGGTATAGTGGTGGATCTAACACCTCCCACACCTGGTAAGGTGTGGATAGGAAATTTCCCAGACACAAGGTTCCAGGTTAGGCATAAATTTCAAAGTAAAGCAAATAAAAATGTAATCTATAATAAAAAGGGATGGCAATTGCCAATCGTAAACGGCAAGACGTTCCGACTGATTAACCGATTAGTAACAAAATACACATTTTCCGGACATTTTTTGAAAAATTAATTCTGTTCACATAACCCCCAATAAATAAATAATTATAATAATAAAAACAACAACTATAAGAAAAACGGCATTAGAAATATTCTGTTCATGCTTGTTCTGTATACTTACCTAATTTAACTCAATTTCGAAAGGAAAACCATAAAACATTGACGTGTATCAAAGACATTGATAAGAACTATATGTGGTATACTGCATACCTTTGCCCCCACAAAAGTCAAATTTTGAAAAATTCTTGAAATGTGCTGAATTCTATGAATTGTATGAGAAATATAATTTAACGGAACATATTATAGTTTCAAAGTAGTTTATCGGCAATTTTTAGCTCACCTGAGCCGAAGGCTCAATGAGCTTTTTTGATCACATTGTGTCCGTCGTCCGTCCGTCCGTCCGTCCGTCTGTCCGTCCGTAAACTTTTCACATTTTCAACTTCTTCTCAAGAACCACTGGGCCAATTTTGACCAAACATGGTACAAAGCATCCTTGGGTGAAGGGGAATTTAAATTGTAAAAATGAAGGGACATATCCCCTCGCAAGGGGAGATAATCAAGAAAAGACAAAAATAGGGTGGGGTCATTAAAAAATCTTCTTCTCAAGAACCACTGGGCCAGAAAAGCTGAAACTTATGTGGAAGCATCCTGGGGTAGTGTAGATTCTAAATTGTTCAAATCATAACCCCCGGGGATTGGGCGGGGCCACAATGGGGAATCAAAGTTTTACATAGAAATATATAGGAAAAATCTTTGAAAATCTTCTTCTCAAGAACCACTGTGCCTGAAAAGCTGAAACTTATGTGGAAACATCCTGGGGTAGTGTAGATTCTAAATTGTTCAAATCATAACCCCCGGGGATTGGGCGGGGCCACAATGGGGAATCAAAGTTTTACATAGAAATATATAGGAAACATCTTTGAAAATCTTCCTCTCAAGAACCACTGTGCCAGAAAAGCTGAAACTTATGTGGAAGCATCCTGGGATAGTGTAGATTCTAAATTGTTCAAATCATAACCCCCGAGGATTGGGCGGGGCCACAATGGGGAATCAAAGTTTTACATAGAAATATATAGGAAAAATCTTTGAAAATCTTCTTCTCAAGAACCACTGGGCCAGAAAAGCTGAAACTTATGTGGAAGCATCCTGGGGTAGTGTAGATTCTAAATTGTTCAAATCATAACCCCCGAGGATTGGGCGGGGCCACAATGGGGAATCAAAGTTTTACATAGAAATATATAGGAAAAATCTTTGAAAATCTTCTTCTCAAGAACCACTGTGCCTGAAAAGCTGAAACTTATGTGGAAACATCCTGGGGTAGTGTAGATTTTAAATTGTTCAAATCATGACCCCCAGGGATTGGGCGGGGCCACAATGGGGAATCAAAGTTTTACATAGAAATATATAGGAAAAATCTTTGAAAATCTTCTTCTCAAGAACCACTGTGCCTGAAAAGCTGAAACTTATGTGGAAACATCCTGGGGTAGTGTAAATTTTAAATTGTTCAAATCATGACCCCCGGGGATTGGGCGGGGCCACAATGGGGAATCAAAGTTTTACATAGAAATATATAGGAAAAATCTTTAAAAATCTTCTTCTCAAGAACCACTGTGCCAGAAAAGCTGAAACTTATGTGGAAGCATCCTGGGATAGTGAAGATTTTAAATTATACAAATCATGACCCCCAGGGGTTGGGCGGGGCCACAATGGGGAATCAAAGTTTTACATAGAAATATATAGGAAACATCTTTGAAAATCTTCTTATCAAGAACCACTGGGCCAGAAAAGCTGAAACTTATGTGGAAGCATCCTGGGGTAGTGTAGATTCTAAATTGTTCAAATCATAACCCCCGGGGATTGGGCGGGGCCACAATGGGGAATCAAAGTTTTACATAGAAATATATAGGAAAAATCTTTCAAAATCTTCTTCTCAAGAACCACTGTGCCTGAAAAGCTGAAACTTATGTGGAAACATCCTGGGGTAGTGTAGATTTTAAATTGTTCAAATCATGACCCCCGGGGATTGGGCGGGGCCACAATGGGGAATCAAAGTTTTACATAGAAATATATAGGAAAAATCTTTGAAAATCTTCTTCTCAAGAACCACTGTGCCTGAAAAGCTGAAACTTATGTGGAAACATCCTGGGGTAGTAGATTTTAAATTGTTCAAATCATGACCCCCGGGGATTGGGCGGGGCCACAATGGGGAATCAAAGTTTTACATAGAAATATATAGGAAAAATCTTTGAAAATCTTCTTCTCAAGAACCACTGGGCCAGAAAAGCTGAAACTTATGTGGAAGCATCCTAGGATAGTGAAGATTCTAAATTGTTCAAATCATGACCCCGTGGGGAAGGGTGGGGCCACAAGAGGGGAATCAAAGTTTTACATAGAAATATATAGGAAACATCTTTGAAAATCTTCTTCTCAAGAACCACTGTGCCAGAAAAGCTGAAACTTATGTGGAAGCATCCTGGGATAGTGAAGATTTTAAATTATACAAATCATGACCCCGGGGGATTGGGCGGGGCCACAATGGGGAATCAAAGTTTTACATAGAAATATATAGGAAAAATCTTTGAAAATCTTCTTCTTAATAGCAACTGGGCCAGAAAAGCTGAAACTTATATGGAAGCATCCTGGGGTAGTGTAGATTTCAAATTGTCTAAATTATGATCAGTGGGGTAGGGTGGGGTCACAATATGTATTACAAGGGGTAAATCTAGTAAAGGACAGAATTGTCAAAGTTCTCAGGTGAGCGTTGTGGCCCATGGGCCTCTTGTTGTTTTTATGACGTCACAAACTAGTCTGATTTTATATCATTTTGTAGAAATAGGACAAAATGGACAAAATTTTAACAATTTTAGCTTTAAAATTTATAGAGCGCAAGTTGCTCAGGAACAATATTTACATATTTCATTGATATTATCATTCTACACATCATATCAAAATATTGAGCCTGATCAGACCTGCGCTCGGTGACTTTTACTCAAAATATTGTTGTAATATATACATTTTTCTGTAGATATAATGAAAATTTTAAATTTATGTCATTTTCGTGACGTCATTTTAAACGTATGATGTCATTGCTTATGAAAATATTCAGTGATTTGAAGTCAGCATATATCTCCCTGTTTAAGAACATAATTAGATATTTCTCTGTCAAAGTTTGATTTGGGGGGCAAATATTGGTTATTACCGTATAAAGTACTTTCTAATGACCCCCCAGTATATAACAGTTACTCTGCATTGACACGATTAACAGAAAACAGTTTAAAGTAATTACTTAATTTACAATGTTTGTTTAAAAAAACAATTTGGCAGATAACTGCAAAGGAAGTTCACAATATTTAGAGATGATTTAATTGATATCATTACAGGGATATAGGAGATTTGGGTAGGGCATGATGTTTAAACAGCAATTAACACTTCACAAATTGTCCAATTACCCGAAAGCCTCAGTCAGAAGAGTCTTAATAAATTATCCCTAAATACACGTATGTGAAAACGTTCAAACTTATGAACAATCACAGGTGTGTTTTTTTTTGAATTTGCAAATTAAATTTTAAGGAAATTGATACATTCTTTAAAAAATTTTCCGACTAATCGATTGCAGATTTCTTAATCGATTACCATTGTTCTGACCGATTAATCGATAAACCGGTTACAAATTGCCATCCCTAATAATAAATGATGAATATCTGTAAAGGATTCCATGGAAGATGTATTGAAATTTTTATGCCCCGCCATGAATATGGCCGGGGCATATAGTGTTTGTCATGTCCATCTTCCATCCTTCTGTCCTTCCATCACACTTTGCGTTTAGCTCTGTTCAAAGCTCAGTTTCAAAGAAAGTATCCAAGATATTTTCATCAAACTTCATATGCTGATAGATATTGATGAGAGCTGTGCAACTGCATTAACATTTTTTGACCTTGACCTTTCCTTTGACATTGACCTTACTTTTCTTAAATTAATGTTTAGCTCAGTTTTAAACATACCATTCAAGATGGTGTTATCAAACATCACATGTTGGATACATACTGATGAGAGCTATTCAACTTCCTCACCATTTTTGACCTTGACCTTTCCTTTGACCTTGACCTCACTTATCTTTAACAAGTGTTTAGCTCAGTTTTAAAGATACCATTCAAGATATTTTTATCAAACGTCATTTGCTGTTACATACTGATGAGAGCTATTCAACTGCATCAACAGTTTTTGACCTTGACCTTTCCTTTGACCTTGACCTTACTTTTTCTAATTCAGTTTCAAACTTTATATGCTGATACATACTGATGTAAGCAATTCAACTGCATCAACATATCTGACCTTTACCTTTTATTTGACCTTGACCTCACTTTTAAGTGAGTTTTAATTAAAGAAATCATTCTAGATATCATATGTTGATAAATATCGATGAGAGATATGCAACTGCATCAACTGTTTTTGACCTTGCCATTCATTCTAGATATCATATGTTGATACATATCGATGAGAGATATGCAACTGCATCAACAGTTTTTGACCTTGCCATTTTCTTTGACCTTTACTTCACTTTTCCTAAATCAGTGTCAAACTTCATATGCTGATACATACTGATGTAAGCAATTCAACTGCTTCAACATTTTTGCCTTGACCTTTTATTTGACCTTGACCTCACTTTTATCAATTTGTGTTTAAGTCAGTTTTAAAGAAACCATTTATAATATTTTTTCAACTTCATATGCTGATACATACTGATGAGAGCTTTTCAACTGCATCAACAGTTTTTGACCTTGGCATTTACTTTGACCTTGACCTCACTTTAATGAAATTAGAGTCAAACTTCATATGCTGATACATACTGATGTAAGCAATTCAACTGCATCACTATTCAAGATATTCTGATCAAATTTCTTACACCAATACAAATTTTTATGTTGCATTACTAATATACCCTCGGTGGGGCATTCATGTCCTATGGACATATTTCTAGTTTTTATGAGACTTTGAGAAGCAGTTTATTGATCCCATGTGCATTTGTGTTTAAGCAAATTGTAAGAGTAAGCTTTGTGTTTTAGACCTCTACCACAGATATGTACATCAACTGGCAGACATTTGAAGATGTAGAGGAAATAAGTTCCATATCACACTCAACAGGCATCCAAGATTACCAACTAGGCATAGGTAATGATTATATATAAGATTTTTTCAATGCTGGTAAAAGTAAATTTTCTATAGGTACAGTTTTAGAGATGTAATTATTTGTAATGATTGTTGTTTACAGGTACAGCAATAG